AGGTGCCTGGAAGGGGTCGATCTTCCGGGCCGCTTCGGTTGGACGGACGGTCCTGTCCGCATTCTTGGAGTGTGGTTTGGGCCTGACCTCCAGCTGGAGAAGAATTGGTCTGAAGTACGTGCAAAGGTCGATTCTGCCGGTCAGACTTGGAATCGACGGCGGTTGTCCGTGAAGGGCAGGGCGGAGGTGTGTGTTACATATTTTTCCCCTGATTCTTTATCGGTTGTCCGTACTTCCTCTCTGTAAAGACCGCAGGAAGGTGCTCGAGCGATCGCTATCCTCCATTTTATGGAGGGACGCGTGAACAGGGTCGACAGACGAGTCTGCACCAAACGTCCGTGTCATGGGGGCTGGGAATGCCGCACCTTATGAGTCACATCCGTGCCTCTAGGTTGGCTTTCCTACGCCGCGCATTGACTAGAGGAGATCCGATTCTGGAGGGGATTGTTAGGGACGCCTTCCTAGCCTTACTATCAGTCCCCCATCTCGAGGGCCGAGCGCCGTTGTAGGCCCTGGGATGAGTCGGATTTCATCCGCGAGTGTCGGTTGGCCTTGAAGGCCATTCCCCGGTCCAGTGACCTTTCACGGCCTAGGAAGGTCTTCTATCGTGGTTTAGTGGAGGGTCGCGCGAAGGATAAACTACGTGATACGCTCGGCTTGTCGGAGGAGGAGTATCGCTCCTATTGGTCTTGGGCGCCAGCGGCGGATTACCTCAGTAACCCTGAGTTTTCGCTTACCTGGCGATTGGCTCGGAATCGGCTGCCTCTCAATGACAAGGCTTTCATATGGGGTTTGGCGGATTTGCCAGACTGTGAACGGTGTGGTCTTGGTTTAGAAGAAACGGCTGCGCACGCCTTCTACCATTGCCCCGGGTCCGCCCCTTATGGGACCATGTCGGCGAGCTGACGGCTCGTCTCGCTCCCGAACAGCTAGTGTCCATGGATCGCGCATACGCGTGTGACAATGTGTCGCCCCCGTATTCCGGGGAGAAACGAATGGTGTTTCTGATGCTGATGGCCACGGCTCGAATGGTGATTTGGACGACGCGAATGGAGGAAGTCTTGCGGGGCAACCGTCTTTCTTATCAGCATCTAATCCAATTCTTTGAGCATCAGCTCAAGATGAAGATTAGATCTGATAGAAAACGATTGCATTCGACAGTCTTCAGCGAAAGGTGGGTAAAAGTAGCAAGCCTGGTTCGTGTGACCGGGGCTAGCCTTGATTTTCTTTTTTAAGTCAACCTATAGCACATCGGGGTGGCTTCCTGTGGAACCCTCCCTTGGTTAGGTTAGACAAGCTTCAGTGTACCTAGTTAATGTGAGTAAGTGTTGTTCCTGGCCTGTATCCCGGCTGCTCTTTGGTTATGGTCCAAGTCGAGATTCCCAACCTCCCAGTTTGTTTTGGTCCCCTTTTTCATCTCGACTGGGTCAGCATTATATTACCCATTCCGGCATAATATTTTATCCTCTTTTCCACTCCCTTAGCGAGAGTGCTTCTTGATTTTGTCCTCTGGGCAGAATACAGTGGCCTCTCTGTTTTGAGGGTTGGACGGTCCCTACTAACATATGTTATGTTTAGTTTGAATTTTGTGTTTATTTTTAGTTTTTATTGGGTTCATCTCCCCCTCTCATCCTATCATTATTAGAATTTTATGTATAGCATTTTATGTATCATCAAATTTTTATGGATTGGGGCGCGCGTTTGGTAGGTCCCCCTTGTGAGAATCCGGTATTATGGTGCATGAAGGATTGAGTGGTGATGGACAAGTTCTTGTGGTGAATGAGTAAATTGTAACGTATGAATGGGTCGTGAATCAGATTAGCTAGGTATAAGATAGTTAGTGAAGACCAGCCTCTACTCCCTCCCCTTTCGGCCTTGTGCCACAATTTGTATATATTTACAAATAAATACCCTAGTTATAGGTAATATATACCCAAAAAACCGTAACAAGATGAAGAAGAAAAATAAAGGAAAATAAATAAATATGAAGGAAGAAGGACTTTTTTTCTTCAAACAAAGATAATGAATGAGAACTAGAGACTAATGCCAACTTTTTAAAAAAAGAGGTTAAGTATAATAAAAAAAGGGAAACAAAAAGATGGAACGTTTTAAAAAAACTTGATCATTGGAAAGGAAATGTCTATGAAAACGGAGAGAAAAGATTGACGACGAAAAAGAAGAAGAAGTGAAAACATTGATAAAAAGAAATTAGAGAACTTCTTAAGTATACTGGTCCAATCGTTAAAAATGAAGAAAATTCATGTGTGGCGAGAATAATTTGTATAGATTAACATACCTTTATGCCACGACACCAATCAGATTTGAAAAAAAAATTGATTTGTTATCTATGTAAAATACGGATCGTGTCTATAATATCAATATACTGATCTCTGTCTCTGACGTATACAAAATTATTGGCCTTTTCAGTTTTTTCCGTACGAAAACAGACTTCTTTTCATTGGGGATTTTACAAGGTGATTTCTTTTAAATAACAACGAAACGGATATATCTATTTTTAATTAAAGAATAAAAGAATTACATAAAATTGCATAAAAATGGTAGGGAAAAGGTTTAAGATAAATAATTTTGCAAAAGCAAAATATTGAAGCATTAAATTTTTAAAAAATTTAAAAAGGAAAAATGGTTTTGAAAAGAAAAGTAGCTGAAAAAGTTTTAAAAGTTTAAAATAGTTAAGAAATTTAGAAATTAAAAAAAAAATTATAAGCAACTATCCAGCGATGTCAGCACATTTTGAAAGTTTATAATTGTAAATAACAGCAGTGATTTAACTAAAGTCTTATTTATATCATTACAGGGTCAACTTGTCAAATGCAAGAATCAATTTGAATCTGTAATGATATAAATAAAACTTTATTCTAAATCGATAACAAATCACCATTTTTCGATGCTGAAAAGAAATTCTACAGAATGCTGGTCTACAAAAGGCTTTTGTCCACAAATGATTTTCTCTGTTTTATGAGGAGACCAGATGGTGTTTAATGGGTACCTAACTGTTCAAAATAAATAAGGAATGTGAAAAGAAAGAGAATGGTAAAAAAATGAATGAGGACGTAAAAATTTAAAGAAAAATAAAGAATACTTATAGTAATGAAAAAAGAAAATCAATTCTCTTTAAAAAGAAACGTAATGAGGAAGAACAGTGAAAGAAGAAAAGAGAGAAGAGAAGAGCGAAAGAAGAAAAAAGAAGGTAACAATGAAAGAAGAAAAGAAAGAAGAGAATAGTGAAAGAAGAAAAGAGAGAAGAAAAGGTGGAGGAAGAAAAGAGAGACGAGAATAGTGTAAGGAGGAACTGGAAAGAGAGAAGAGAATAAAGGAAAGGAGGAAAGAGAGTTTTGACCTAAGAAAAAGAGAAGAGAAAAAAAAAAAGGAAAGGAGAAGAGAGTCAGGTAAGGGAGGAAAAGTTTTTTTAAAAGAAGACAAAGAAAGAACGAGAATAAATGTAAGGAAAAAAGAAAGAAAGAAGAAAAAGAGAGAAAGAAGGAAAAGCTTCAAAAGAATAAAAAGAGGAGAATAGTAAGGAGGAAAGATTTTTGAAAGAAGAAAAGAGAGACGAGAATAGTGTAAGGAGGAAAGAGAGAATTGAAAGAAAAAAGAGAGACGAGAATAGTTACCGGAGGAAAGAGAGAAGTTGGAAAGAAGAAAAGAAGAGAAAATCAAAGGACGAAAAGAGAGAATAAAAGAAGAATAGAAATGAGAGGAGGATTTGGTTATAAAAGTCTGAAAGAAGAAAAGAGAAAGAGATAGTGTAAGGAGGAAAGAGAGAAGTGAAAGAAACAAAGTTTCTTGAGAAAAGTGTAAGGAGGAAAGAGAGAAGTGAAAGAAGAAAAGAGAGACGAGAATAGGATAAGGAGGAAAGAGAGAAGGAAAGAAGAAAAGAGAGATGAAAAAGTTAGGAGGAAAGAGAGAAGTGAAAAAGAAAGAAAAGAGAAACGAGAAGTGAAAGAAGAAAAGACTATGAGAATTGGAGGAAAGGAGGAAAAAGAAAAAAAAGCAAAAGAGAAGAGAATAGTTTAAGGAGGAAAGAGAGAAGGAAAGAAGAAAAGAGAGATAAGAATAGTGTAAGGAGGAGGAAGAAAAGAGAGAAGTGAAAGAGGAAAGAGAGAAGAGAAATAGAGAATAGTTGCAATAAAAAAAGAGAAAGAAAAGAAAGAGAAAAAAAGGAGGAAACAAAAAGAAACAAGAAAAGAGAGTTTTAAATAGTGTAAGGAGGAAGAGAGAAGGAAAGAAGAAAAGAGAAACGAGAATAGTGTAAGGAGGAAAGAGAGAATTGAAAGAAGAAAAGAGAGACGGTCTCCTTTTAAGGAGGAAAGAGAGAAGTGAAAGAAGAAAAAGAGAGACGAGAATAGTGTAAGGAGGAAAGAGAGAAGGAAAGAAGAAAAAAGAATAGATAAAAGAAGGCTGTGTGAAGGAGGAAAAGAGAGAAGCGAATGGAGAAGAAAAGAGAGAAAAGAAGACAAATAAAGGAGGAAATCCTGCTTAGAAAAGAAGAGGAAAGAGAGAAAAGAAGAAAAGTGTAATTAAGGAGGAAAGAGAGAAGGAAAGAAGAAAAGAGAGACGAGAATAGTGTCAAGGAGGAGAGTGGAAGAAAGAGAAAAAGAGAGAAATTTAAGAGGCCAAAAGAGATTTGAAAAGGAGTGAGAAGTGTAAGGAGGAAAGAGAGAAGGAAAAAGAAAAAAAAGAGACGAGAATAGTGTAAGGAGGAAGAGAGAAGAAAGATGAAAGAAGAAATGTAAGAGAGAGATTTGAAAGAAGAAATGGAAACGAGAATTGTAAGGAGGAAAGAGAGAAGTGAAAGAAGAAAAAGAGAGACGAGAATAGTGTAAGGGAGGAAAGAGAGAAGGAAAGAACAAAAAGAGAGACGAGAATAATGTAAGGAGGAAAAGAGAGAAAGTGAAAAGAAGAAAAGAAAAAGAGAGAAAAAGAAGAGAATAGTGTAAGGAGGAAAAGAGAAGAAAGAAGAAAAAGAGAAAAGAATGTTATTAAGGAGGAAAGAGAGAAGTGAAAAAGAAAAGAGTCGAGTTAGTTAAGGAGAAGGTAAAATGAAAGAAGAAAGGAGGAAAGCCAGAGAAGTGAAAGAAGAAAAGAGAGAACGAGAATTTTGTAAGGAGAGAAGAAAACCAAAAGAGAGAAGTGAAAGAAGAAAAGAGAGATGAGAATAGTGTAAGGAGGAAAGAGAAAAGGAAAGAAGAAAAGAGAGACGAGAATAGTGTAAGGAGGAAAAGAGAGAAGGAAAGAAAAAAAGAGAGACGAAAATAAGCCTCAAGGAGGAAAGAGAGAAGGAAAAGAAGAAAAGAGAAACGAGAATATGAATGGAATAAGGACAAAAGAAAAAAACATTCCGAGAATTTTTTAAAAGGAAGAAAAGAGAGAAAACGAGAATTTGTAAGGAGGAAAGAGAGAAGTGAAAGAAGGGACTCCTGAAGGAGGAAAGAAAACGAGAATTAAAAAAAAAAAGGAAAGAGAGAAGTGAAAGACGAGAAAGAAAAGAGAAAGGAGAGATTTAAAGAAAGTATAAGGAGGAAAGAGAGAAGGGAAGAAAAGAGAAACGAGAAAGTTAAAGGAGAAAAGAGAGAAGAAAAGAAAGAAGAAAAAAGAGAAACGAGAACAGTGTAAGGAGGAAAGAGAGAAGTGAAAGAAGAAAGAGAGACGAGAATTTGTAAGCAAAAAAAGGAGGAAAGAGAGAAGTGAAAGAAGAAAGAGAAACGAGAATAGTGTAAGGAGGAAAGAGAGAAGTGAAAGAAGAAAAAGAGAGACGAGAATAGTGTAAGGAGGAAAGAGAGAAGAAAGAAGAAAAGGGAGACGAGAATAGTTTAAGGAGGAAAGAGAGAAGTGAAAGTGAAGAAAAGAGAGAAGTGAAAAAAAAGAGAAACGAGAATAGTGTAAGGAGGAAAAGAGAAGTGAAAGAAGAAAAGAGAGACGAGAATAGTGGGGTAAGGAGGAAAGAGAGAAGTGAAAGAAGAAAAGAGAAACGAGAATAGTGTAAGGAGGAAAAGAGAAGTGAAAGAAGAAAAGAGAAGAACGAGAATAGAGGAAAAGAGAGAGGAAAGAGAGGAAAGAAGAAGAAAGAAAGAAAGAGAATAAGGAGGGGAAAGAGAGAAGTGAAAGGAAAGGAGAGAGAAATGAAAGAAGAAAAAGAGAAGAGAATAGTGTAAAGGAGGAAAGAGAGAAGTGAAAGAAGAAAGAGAGACGAGAATAGTGTAAGGAGGAAAGAGAGAAGTGAAAGAAGAAAGGGAGACGAGAATAGTGTAAGGAGGAAAAGAGAAGAAAGAAGAAAAGAGAAAAGAAGAAAAGAGGAGACGAGAAGAGTAAGGAGGAAAGAGAAAAGAGAAAGAAGAAAAAGAGAAAAAGAATAATGTAAGGAGGAAAAGAGAGAAGTGAAAGAAGAAAAGAGAGACGAGAATAGTGTAAGGAGGAAAGAGAGAAGGAAAGAAGAAAAGAGAGATGAGAATAATGTAAGGAGGAAAGAGAGAAGGAAAGAAGAAAGAGAGACGAGAATAGTGGTGTAAGGAGGAAAGAGAGAAGTGAAAGAAGAAAAGAGAGAGACGAGAATAGTGTAAGGAGGAAAGAGAGAAGGAAAGAAGAAAAGAGAAAACGAGAATAGTGAAAAAAGGGAGGAAAGAGAGAAGTGAAAGAAGAAAAAGAGAGAAAGAATAGTGTAAAAAGGAGGAGAAAGAGAGAAGTAGTAAGGGAGGAAAGAAGAAAAAAGAGAAACGAGAATAGTGTAAGGAGGAAAGAGAGAAGTGAAAGAAGAAAAGAGAGACGAATAGTGTAAGGAGGAAAGAGAGAAGTGGAAAAAGAAGAAAAGAGAGACGAGAATGAAAGTGAAAAGGAGGAAAGAGAAGGAAAGAAGAAAGAGAGACGAGAATAGTGTAAGGAGGAAAGAGAGAAGTGAAAGAAGAAAAAGAGACGAGAATAGTGTAAGGAGGAAAGAGAGAAGGAAAGAAGAAAAGAGAGACGAGAATAGTGTAAGGAGGAAAGAGAAGTGAAAGAAGAAAAGAGAGAGAACGAGAAGGAGGAAAAGAGAGAAGTGTAAGGAGGAAAGAGAGAAGTGAAAGAAGAAAAGAGAAACGAGAATAGTGTAAGAGAGGAAAGAGAGAAGTAAGGAGGAAAGAGAAAGAAGAAAAGAGAGACGAGAATAGTGTAAGGAGGAAAGAGAGAAGTGAAAGAAGAAAAGAGAAACGAGAATAGTGTAAGGAGGAAAGAGAAGTGAAAGAAGAAAAGAGAGACGAGAATAGTGTAAGGAGGAAAGAGAAGTGAAAGAAGAAAAGGGAGACGAGAATAGTGTAAGGAGGAAAGAGAGAAGTGAAAGAAGAAAAGAGACGAGAATAGTGTAAGGAGAAAAAAGAGAGAAGTGAAAGAAGAAAAGAGAGACGAGAATAGTGTAAGGAGGAAAGAGAGAAGTGAAAGAAGAAAAAGGGAGACGAGAATAGTGTAAGGAGGAAAGAGAGAAGTGAAAGAAGAAAAGGAGACGAGAATAGTGTAAGGAGGAAAGAGAGAAGTGAAAGAAGAAAAGAGAAACGAGAATAGTGTAAGGAGGAGAGAGAAGAAAAAGAAGAAAGAGAGACGAGAATAGTGTAAGGAGGAAAGAGAGAAGTGAAAGAAGAAAAGAGAAACGAGAATAGTGTAAGGAGGAAAGAGAGAAGTGAAAGAAGAAAAAGAGAGACGAGAATAGAAGAAAGAGAGAGAAGAAGAAAAAGAGGAGGAAAGAGAGAAGTGAAAGAAGAAAAGAGAGACGAGAATAGTGTAAGGAGGAAAGAGAGAAGGAAAGAAGAAAAGAGAGACGAGAATAGTGTAAGGAGGAAAGAGAGAAGAAAGAAGAAAAGGGAGACGAGAATAGAGAAGGAGGAAAGAGAGAAGTGAAAGAAGAAAAGAGAGACGAGAATAGTGTAAGGAGGAAAGAGAGAAGTGAAAGAAGAAAAGAGAGACGAGAATAGTGTAAGGAGGAAAGAGAGAAGTGAAAGAAGAAAAGAGAGACGAGAATAGTGTAAGGAGGAAAGAGAGAAGTGAAAGAAGAAAAGGGAGACGAGAATAGTGTAAGGAGGAAAGGAGGAAAGAGAGAAGAGAAAGAAGAAAAGAGAAGAGAAAAGAAATGTAAGGAGGAAAGAGAGAAGTGAAAGAAGAAAAGAGAGACGAAAAGAGAGAGAGAAGTGAAAGAAGAAAAGAGAGACGAGAATAGTGTAAGGAGGAAAGAGAGAAGTGAAAGAAGAAAAGAGAGAAAAGAATAATGTAAGGAGGAAAGAGAGAAGTGAAAGAAGAAAAGAGAGACGAGAATAGTGTAAGGAGGAAAGAGAGAAGTGAAAGAAGAAAAGAGAGACGAGAATAGTGTAAGGAGGAAAGAGAGAAGTGAAAGAAGAAAAGAGAGAAAAGAATAGTGTAAGGAGGAAAGAGAGAAGTGAAAGAAGAAAAGAGAGACGAGAATAGTGTAAGGAGGAAAGAGAGAAGGAAAGAAGAAAAGAGAGACGAGAATAGTGTAAGGGAGGAAAGAGGAGAAGAAGTGAAAGAAGAAAAGAGAGACGAGAATAGTGTAAGGAGGAAAGAGAGAAGGAAAGAAGAAAAGAAAGAGACGAGAATAGTGTAAGGAGGAAAGAGAGAAGGAAAGAAGAAAAGAGACGAGAATAGTAAGGAGGAAAGAGAGGAGGAAAGAGAGAAGTGAAAGAAGAAAAGAGAGACGAGAATAGTGTAAGGAGGAAAGAGAGAAGAGAATAGTGAAAGGAGGAAAGAGAGAAGTGAAAGAAGAAAAGAGAGACGAGAATAGTGTAAGGAGGAAAGAGAGAAGAGAATAGTGAAAGGAGGAAAGAGAGAAGAGAATAGTGTAAGGAGGAAAGAGAGAAGAGAATAGTGTAATGAGGAAAGAGAGACGTGAAAGAAGAAAAGAGAGACGAGAATAGTGTAAGGAGGAAAGAGAGAAGAGAAAGAAGAAAGAGAGACGAGAATAGTGTAAGGAGGAAAGAGAGAAGTGAAAGAAGAAAAAGAGAAACGAGAATAGTGTAAAGGAGGAAAGAGAGAAGTTAAAGAAGAAAAGAGAAACGAGAATAGTGAAAGGAGGAAAGAGAGAAGTGAAAGAAGAAAAGAGAGACGAGAATAGTGTAAGGAGGAAAGAGAGAAGTGAAAGAAGAAAAGAGAGACGAGAATAGTGTAAGGAGGAAAGAGAGAAGTCAAAGAAGAAAAGAGAAACGAGAATAGTGTAAGGAGGAAAGAGAGAAGTGAAAGAAGAAAAGAGAGACGAGAATAGTGTAAGGAGGAAAGAGAGAAGTGAAAGAAGAAAAGAGAAACGAGAATAGTGTAAGGAGGAAAGAGAGAAGTGAAAGAAGAAAAGAGAAACGAGAATAGTGTAAGGAGGAAAGAGAGAAGAGAATAGTGAAAGGAGAAAAGAGAGAAGTGAAAGAAGAAAAGAGAGAAGAGAATAGTGTAAGGAGGAAAGAGCGAATAGGAAAGTGTAATTACAAATGGTAAATGAGAATAGTAAAGAATGAAATGAAGAATAAGAACAATTCTTACAAATAAGAAATAAAATAGAAAATACAGAAAGAAGAAGAATGAAAAAAAATGAAATTAACGAATGAGAAGAAGAAAAAAAAGAAAATAGAAATGAAATTTTGAAGCAGATAAAATAATGAATGACGATAAAAGAAGTAAAGAAAGAAACCTGCTAAAAAGACAACAGGAAATAAACTCAATAATTTTTCTATCAATTCATATCAATGAAGAGAAAATAAAGAGAAGAAAAACGTGGAGAGTCATGTCTACGTCCAACAGGGACATAGGGTTAAAGAAAAAAATAAGCAATGAGAAGAAAAGAAATAAAAATTGAAAGCCGATGAAAAGGCAACAGAAATCACTGCCCTATCTTTCCCATCAATTCATCGCAATTCCCAGATAATAAAATGAAGATAAACGTGGAGAGACATTTACGTCTGCGTCCAAAAGGGAGATGGGATTTAAAGAAGTAACAAAGAAACAGAAGAATATGAAGAAAATATGAAGAAGAACAATACAAAGAAACAGCAACAAATAAGAATTCAGTAAAAAATATAATATATTGAATTAGTATACAGGATTCTGTCTATTTGCATTTGTTAAATAGAAGAAAAATAAAGTATATACTAAACTAAGAGACAAGCAAGATGTTGAGTACTGATCACGTGTCGTGCCATAGAACAACACAATACAACAAATGCAAAAATATACAAGCAGAAATCGAAAGGAAACTTAAGGAAGGAAATGAAGAATTAGAGTCGTTTCACGGGTAATACAATCTTGTGCAATGAATAAATATTGTGCAAAAATAAATATTAAATCATTGCAACTGTTAAAGCCTTCTTTCCCTCTTGTTTTTCTTAAAATCTTTATCCAGGAAATTTACTTTATCTCAAGAGAATTCTCTTAGAATATGTAAATATTTCGTTGATAAATGATGGGGATATGTTAGATATTCTTTAGATTAAATATAAATGTGGGCATCTGCTAATACATCCGTAAATTGAACTAATGCAAATAATATAATGAAAACCAGAAATTCTGATTTTTATATATGTCCTTTAAAAATTTGCTTTCGTAATTAGTGACAAAGAAAAAAAGAAAGGAAAAATGAAAAAAAAGGAGATAATAAGAGAGAGAGAGAGAGAGAGAGAGAGAGAGAGAGAGAGAGAGAGAGAGAGAGAAAAGTGGAGAAATATGATTAAATACTGATAAAAAAGATTAAGACAGAAGCAACGAAAAAGTGTTTGAAAACGAAAGTGAAAGTGAAAGTGAAAATGACGAGGACAAAGAACGCGAGCGGAGGATGACAGGCGTGAAAAAATTAGAATGCTGACGAGAAAGATTAAAATGAGAGTGTATAGAACAGAAAGAGTGCAATAGGGAGGAAAAGAAAAAAAATAAGGAGAGAAAGAAAGAATAAGTAGTTGAAAATAAAAGAGGATAAGGTTAAAAAAGGGGGGGCATAGAACGAAAAAGGCAGAAGGGGGTAAAAAGAGAATGAACTACAAAGGAAGAGTAAACAGTAGAGAGAAGGGGAGAGTGAAAATGGGAAAAGAATTCGTAGAGGCGAAATGTGGAAGAGAATCAAAAAGATCATCCGAAAGAGAAAGGGCGTGGATCGAAGACAGCATCACAGAGAGAGAGAGAGGGAGAGAGAGAAAGAGAAGGAGAGAGTGAGAAAGAGAGAGAGATGGAGAGAGAGTGGGGGTTGTAAAGAAAGATGAAGATAGATGTGAACAAGAGAAAATAAAATGAAGAGTGTGATAAAGGAAAGGAAAAGATTGAGAAAGAAAAAATGTGTAAGAAAAAGAGAAAGGAAGAAAAAAAGAATAAATCAGAAAAATACGTATTATGAGTGATAGGTGGATAACAATGCTAAAGTAGAAAAAAGTCTACATGACAAAACAATGAAACAATAACCATTCATAAAAAATGATTCAAGATATACATATATGTGTGTGTGTCTGTGTGTATACAAGGTGCGAAGCGTTTAAATTGTAATATAAAAAAAACAATATATTCAATAGAAAAATGGTATTTTTAAAAAAATGTATACCTTACAAAAATAGAAAAAGAGAGCTATTCAATAAAATCCCGCTCAGCGAAGGCCCAGCTTTGCATTGTTCAGGAATCCACTGTATTCGCGAATCAGTTTGTCTCGTTCATACTGAATATAATGTCCCAGGTGGCAGCCTTCAACAAGCGCTTGATATTGTGGAGAAGCTGTTTAAGGTCCCTGTCGGCGATATACCATACACGAGATCCGAATCAGAAGAGCTAGAAGCGCATGTCTTGGTGAATGACAATTCGATGAAAAATTACGCCCAAGTACTTCATGGAAAGGTCAGGCACGTGTGAGAGAGCAGGATCCTGCTGGAATGCGCATGGTCATTTCTTCCATCCAGGGCTTCACTTGGGTATCTAGCACATTCGTGTTGAACCTGGGGCTCACCGCACAGAAATGAAGCAGCATGACGTCCCCGGAAGGCAGAAGAGAACGTGAACTTAGTTTGCTTCACAGGGGATAGCACCGTATTGTCTGCGCAGATTCACCTCTCGATCCTTCTATTTACATGTCTTCTCTTAAGAAGCACATTCTTTTCGTTGCTTATTCCACAATCATACTGTGTTTTTTTTTTCATTTCTTATACCAATCTGGAAGCTGCACTGTCAATGCTCTTGATACGTCTGAAAAAGGAATGAGAATAAAACTGAAATTTCGCGCATGCCGATTAAGATAACTTTAGGAGGTCCTTCTGAATGACATGGCATGCTATCTATCTATCTATCTATCTATCTATCTATCTATCTATCTATCTATCTGCTATATACCGTAACTATGCACACTAATGGATATGTGCCAATCCACATAAATATGTTGAACGCTATTGTAAGTGCGGATAATATACTAAGTAGTTCCCCACTAGAAGTGGTTTACCTACTTGACGCCGCTGGCGAGTATTGTATTTTGTTGATATTATAAAGATTACCATTTCATTTCCAACATCCGTTTTGCTTATTACTCATTTAGTAACCGTTTCTTGGTTACAACATTATATTTTACTTCATGTGTTCTCAACTCGTTCATCCCTCCCATTTTCTTCCACATTCTTTCTCTCTCCCTATCTATCTATCTATCTATCTATCTATCTATCTATCTATCTATCTATCTCGGCCTGTTTATTATCTATCTATCTATCTATCTATCTATCTATCTATCTATCTATCTGATTCATTTCATATCTATCTATTTTAAGACATTTTTATGTTTATACATTCTTTTTAAAATATCGGATTTGTCCATTTCATAATGTGTGTATATCTATCTATCTATCTATCTATCTATCTACCCGAGTTTCTTCATATATATCTATCTGTTCATGTCTATCTACATATATACCTATCACAATCTATCTATCTATCTATCTATCTATCTATCTATCTATCTATCTATCTATCTATCTAAACAACGTATATAATCTCGCAAAGCCGGTTCCAGAGATTATTGATGTGCTCAACAACAGCAAATCCTAAACCCCTCGCCTATGCAATCAATTCGAAGTCTTGACGTCTACTGCAGATAAGGAGGAATGCTTTGTTCGGACATTCTCTTCCATCTCAGCACTCGACTCATCTGAAGTACTCACACCTGATTTCCCCCTCCTAGAACTTAGGCTTTCCTGAGTGATATGCGCATAACCCCGTCACTGGTCTCGGACATCATTTCTAAATTAGACTCCCATAAGTCAACTAGAGATGACGGTATACTAGCCGTCGACCTAAAGAAATGTGCTCCCGAACTGAGCCCAATTCTCTTCAAACTCTACGACAACTGCCTCGCTGCTTCCTGCTTCTAACTTATTGGAAGTCCTCCTCTGTACTCCCTGTTTCTAAGAACTCTCGAGAACATTCTGATCCCTCTATCTCCTTATTAGTACCCTACTGATTTTCGGCAAAGTATCCGAGACTTTAATGAATGATGAAATGGTTAAGCATCATACCTCTCAGGAACTACTCTCTGACAAACAATATCGATTCCATTTTGTCCGGTGTATCGCTGATGTGCTTACGGCTATCACTGAATATGTATATGAAACTCTTGATAATAAAGGCGAAGCGCGAATTGTAGCTCTAGATATCTCAAAGACATTTGACAGGGTTTAGTATACCAGTTTCTACGTAACGTTCAGGGCTACGCTATTACAGGACGATTGTTTGATTTAATCCAATCGTTCCTATCAAATCGTGAAATGAAGGTCGTCCTAAACGGGTTTGCTTCCAAATCCTTTCACACGAACGCGGTTGTCCCCTAAGGCTCTATACTGGGTTGTACGCTGTTTCTGATCTTCATCGGTGACCTTTTGATATCATCAGTTCCCAAGTAGGCATTTATGTAGATGATACTAACATTTTCTACAGTCTCAATAGTAAAACCGCCAGAGCTGACAAAGATAACCTGGCCACTGCCCTTGTGAAGGACCTCCAATCAGTGGTTAACTGGAACAGAAAAAGGTTTCTAAATTTTAATGCCTTCAAAATGTTTTCACTTAAACATTATAGAGGAGCTACCCTGTCCGCCATCAGCATGGCTAATGCTCGACTCCTGAGAGCGTCTCACTACGTCTTCTTGACCTCACGTTTTCCACTAACTTGAAGTCGAACAACTATATTGTATCAATAGCTTCATCTGCCGCTCGGAAATTTGGTTCTTTGTAACATGTCAGAAAGTTTTTCTCGTCACTGTCCATTTTTCTATTTACAAATCGGCCATTCCTCCGAGCATTGAATATTGTTGTTATATCTGGTCTGCTGCCCCCGCTGTTCATTTCGAAGTTCTTGACAAAATCCAAAATACATGCAATATAATCGATTCTAACTTGGCATCTCGACTTCAGTCACTTTATCAAAGACCGGTTTCCCTCTGTCTTTTCTACAGATATTTTCATGGCAACTGCTTGGACGAGCTTTTCTTTTGCTGGAGCTCCGACTACATGAATTTAAACGTGCTACTAGAGTGGAATGTAGGTCCCGCCCTTTTACTGTTGAAATATTTAAATGTAACAACCACTTATACTCCAACAGTTCTTTTTCTCGAGTTTGACGATATTGGAAATCCATTTCGCTTACTTGCTTCCCTGACAATTATAATATTCAAAAATTTAAATGCAACGTCAACCGCCATTTTCTGTTGACTTGAACGTCATTCAGTTTTTATTCTTTCCACAACTCCCCCTATACACAGTCTTTTCGTTCACTTTCACTCTCACCAACTCCCTGTGCAATAATGGCAATTCCTCCTGGCTTGGGATCAAATGATTAAAAACATATATATATATATATATATATATATATATATATGTATTATCTACATTATTCGGACTATTGTCCTCATCTTCTCATCTTTGTCGCCATATTTATCACGTTTCGGTCGTTGTACGCTCCGGCCTTCTCCAGGTGGTTGTAATGTCGAACTGAACTCTTTATTTCGCTCACCGGGGTAGACTGTTCTAGTTCCACGTGCTATGTTTGTCAGAGACACATGGCACAGTGGATAAAGGCGTTGGTTAGATCCAGTGACAGGACCCAAAGAATGTGAGTTCAATACCCGGTTAAGGCAGAGGAGAACTTTCAGAGGGAAATTAACAGGAGGTAACTGATATCCATTAAAAATGGCACGTGGAACTAGAACGGTCTACCTCAGTGAGAGAAATAAAGGGTTCGACATTCCAACCACCTGAAGAAGGCCGGAGCATACAACGGTCGAAAGGTTGTGATAAATATGGCGACAAAGATGAGGACAATAGTCTGAATAATGTAAATAATGTACATAATACCTCATCTCAGAAATATATATATATATATATGTGTGTGTGTGTGTGCATTTCACTGAATACGTCAGACAAGGTGCTTTGATTTAGTATTTTTATTTTTTAATTTTTTTCTTTTCAGATGATAAATTATATAAAACGGTCCGAATGTTCTTTTTTTCCGTGCGTTTTCGGCTATATATTTAACCGTTTTCAAGGATGAAGCATTTTAAAATGGCTAAATGCATAGCCGAAAGCGCTCGGAAAAAAAAAGAATATTCGGACAGTTTTTATATAATTTATCATCTGAAAAGAAAAAAAAAATTAGATCGCATGAGAAATTGTATGAAAAACTGAATCAAAGCACCTGTTCTTTTGTATATATTGAAACGTGCATAAAAGAACACACACACACACACACACACACACATATATATATATATATATATATATATATATATATATATATATATATATAACTATAGTGTCTACTTATTGAGCACATTTACCTATAAATATTGCATACTTAATAAATACCTATCTATCAAACACTCACACAGACACACACGCATATATATATATATATATATATATATATATATATATATATATATATATATATATATATATATATATATATATATATATATCTGTGTGTGCCCTTGTGTCTGTATGTGTATTGCCTTCGAGAATGAAGCAGAAATGGGAAGTCAAAAGTTTTCGTTTCGATCAAAAGTGACCCCCCGACAAACTAATGTTGGGTGATATTGGTCAGATTTTGGAGGAAGCGGGTTTACAGAATAACTCATAAGCCTCCCGTCTTCTACAGATAATCAATATTCTCTTCACAATTGAAGCAAGTTTTGTAGATATTTCCATGGTTATTCCTAGTATCGCGAATGGCAGTGAAATATTTATAGACTTAGAGACTAAATCTACAAGAATTAAACTATTTTTCAGTGATTCCATATTATTTCCTTGTTTCATTCAATTGCGTTAAAGTGCATTCATGCATTGGCATACAGAACTCAAAATTACATGCAAATAGCTAATAATGCGTCAACTCAATTAAATCAAAAACGAGGAAATATTCTTAGCTTTCGAATAATTCGCCAGTAGTTATTTACATTATTTACATTATTTACATTATTCGGATTATTGTCCTCATCGTCATTGTCACATTCCTGACGTTTTGGCCGTTGTACGTTCCGGCTTTCTTCAGTTGATATACGTTGGAATTTCGACACAATAAAACATAAATGAAGGCCGGAAAGTACAAAGTGCGAAACGTGGTGATTATAACAATAAAGATAGGAACAATTGTCTGTTCGTAATTAAATATAAACGAACCCGACTGGAATAAGTAATCTATATCCATTACACTGCGAGCATATCCAAGCTTACAGCACCTGGTATTCGCAAGCGGTCACCCATCAAGCTACTGACCAGTCTCGACGTTGCTTAATTACGTTAATCGTACGAGAATGTGACATGACAATAAGCCTTGGCTAATTAAGCCTTGGCTAATTAGATTATATGTCAGCCAACTCGATCTAGCTTATTATATTCGCTATCGTAACAAAGGTAAAAGTTTGATTAAAATTATAAGGATATTTAGGATTTGCAAATCGATCTAGCTTGTCATATTAATATATATTAATATATATTAATATTATAAAGGTATTTATGACATCCAAGATGAACTAGCGTGTCATACTGTCTATATTAACAGGGGTCAAGTTTTGGTTAAAATTATGAAGATCTTTATGACATACAATACAATCAAGCTTGTCATATTGGCTAGAGTAAAAGGGACGACATTATAGATAACATTATAAAATATTTGACATAAAAAACGATATTATTTGTTCTATGGTCCAGGGCAACCGAGTCCAAAGTTTGATTAACATTATAAAGATATTTATGATATCCAAGAAGAACTATCGTGTCATAATGTCCATATTAACAGAGTCCAAACATTGATTAATATTATAATAATATTTCTGAGGCCATTAAAGATATTTATGAAATCACAGATGATCTAGCTTGTCATATTGGCTATATTAACAGAGGTCTAAGAATTGTTACCATTGTAAATTTATTTATGACATACAAGACTATCTCTTGTGTCATATTTGTTATAGAAACAGGTGCCAAATCTTGGTTAACATTATGAAGATATTTATGATTAGCAAATCGATCTAGCTTGTCACATTGCATAAAGTAACTGTAGCCAAATCTTGGTTAATATTATAAAGATATTTATCATATTCAAGGCGATCTATCTTGACATGTTTTTATTAACCGAAGCCACAGCTTAGTTTAAATTATAAAAATATTTAAGCCATTCAAGAACACCTAGCTTTTAACATTGTCAATATTAACTCAAATGTCATTTAACATTATTGTTGTGGATTCCGAGATGAATTCGGTCTCCAAGGAATGACAAACGCAATAATTAAATATAAAGAAATAAAATGTATTTACACAATCATACAAAGAGTAATACTGTTAGTAAATCCAGGAACGCGGTTAGTAGCAATAACAGATAGATATATACAGTCTCGAAGTAGGACTTCCTTAGAGTCTACGTGCTTGTAACTGACTTCTACAAGAGGTTACCTCACACTATCTCCGTTCGTATATTCTCTCTCTCTCCGTATATCCTATCTCACTGACTGTCTAACTCTGGGTATTTAAGGGCAGCACTCCAAGTAACACTGGTAGAGTCCACTTATATGAAAAGGGGAGGACCCCATAACAATTATAAAGATATTTGTGACATCTAAGACGATTTAGCGTGTCATATTCGTTACAGCAACAGAGGCAAAATCTTGGACAAAATTGTAAAGACATTTGTGAGATCCAAGATAGGGTGTAAATCTTATTTAATATATAAAAATATTTATATTATTTACATTATTCAGACTATTGTCCTCATTTTTGTCGTAATATTTATTACAACGTTTCGGCCTTCTTCAGGTGGTTGGAATTTCGAACTGAACCCATTATTTTGCTCACTGGGGTAGACTGTTCTAGTTCCATGTGCCATGTTTAATGATTGTCAGTTAAAAGGCTGGAACGTACAACTGCCGAAACATTGTAATAAATATGGCGATAAAGATGAGGACAATAGTCCGAATAATGTAAATAATGTACATAATACCTCATCTCAGAAATATAGAAAAATATTAATGTCTTCCAAAACGATCTCGCTGGCTATACTAAAAAAGTCCAAATCTGGATTAACATTATAAACATGTTTATGACATCGAAGTTAGTGAAACTTGTCATATTGACTATAGTCATATAGACTAAATTTTGCTAATATTTTAAATATATTCATGGCGATTTAAGTTGACATCATGCCTATATTAACGAAGGTCGTTCCTTGGCTAACATTATAATGACATTTATGATATCCAAATCTATCTAGCTTGTCATATTGGCTTTAATAACAGAATGCAAAGGTTTGTTAGCATTATGAAGATATTTATGACATCAAAGACGATCTAGTCTGTTTTAATGTCTATACTAACGGAGGCCAAATTTTGTTAATATTATTAAGATATTATGGCTTCATAGACAAACTAGCGTGCCATGTTCTCTATATTAATTTTGGCCAAAATTTAGTTAATATTATAAATATATTTATGACATCCAAGACGATATATGTTGTCATATTGCTATAGTAACATAGGCCAAATCTTTTATAAAGATGTTTATTAGATCCAAATCGATCGATTCTGACATATTGACGATAGTAATCGAGGTTAAATCTTGGCTAAAATCATGAAAATATTTATGACATTTATGACATTCACGACTATCTAGCTTGTCATATTGGCTAAATCTTGACTAACCTTATAAAGATATTTATGATATCCAAGACGATAAAGCTTTCATGTTAACTATTGTAAAAGAGGCTATATCTTGGTTAACCTTATAAATATACTTATGACATCCAAAATGATCTAGCTTGTCATATTGGCTAGTTACAGGTTCCAGGGCTTAGTTTAGATTATAATAATATTTTGATCTTTAAGTCGATGTAACTTGTCATATTGACTATAGTTACATAGGCTAAATCTTTTTTTTTAATATTATAGGTTTATTTATGACTTCCAAGACTAGCATGTCATAATATCTATTGTAACAGAAGCCAAACTTTGATTAATATTATAATGATATTTATGACATCTAGTTTGACATGTTGGCTATAGGAACAGGGGCCAAAGCTTGGTTAACATGATAAGCATATTTATGGCATCCATGATTGCCTAGCTTGTCATATTAGATATAGTAACCAAGTCCAAATCTCAATCATTCTGTAATATCACAATATTGAATCCTTACGTAAACTTTTATTGTCTATTGTCTCAAAGTAGATAAAACTTAGATTAATTTACCAGATTATCTCTGGTACGTTCTTCAATGTGCCTCATCTTCTGATGACATGGCTCTCCATAACTTCCTCTCTCTTGTGACCTTTTGCAGTTTTTTTCTCGCTTTGCTAATGCATCCCTCAGTTCCGTCATCTATTCACACATTTTCGTCAGAGAGATGATTCTCTGCCCCTCTCTTGAGCTCAATTGACCCTGTGACGATTAGATTTCCCAAGACCTACTTTAAAGCCGTTTCTTTCTTATTATGAATAGAAATCTTTTTGTTGAGATGTTTCCTAAGTTTTCCCCGTTGCATAATCGTGACGTCCATGGAACTTTTTGCTTTTCAGTTTCATCCATTATTCTCTTCATCTTTGGTGAGATTAATCAACATTCACTGCAACATATGAGGTTTGATATCACATAACAATTTAGAACTCTTTGCTTTGTTTCTCACGAAATTTTACTGAATCCTTTGCTATTCCAAATCATGCTCAGATTTCCATGTCGTATTTTCAATCCACTGTTAAAATACTTATAGTTGATGACGTATCTTTTTTTTCGCTTTGCTTTACTTCCTGTTACTTTGTATCTTGCTTTGCTTTTGGAAGGCACCTTTCGCCTAATTGTATGTGCCTTCGGATTTCGGTACCGTATTTTCTATCCTCTGTTAAAACCTTTCCCAGATATTTTTACTTGTTTGATTGTAATATCGCCACATATTGGTTCTTCTTCTCTTGCTGACGAATATCCTTTCTCTCTAATATAATTCTTAAACTTGTTATATATTTAAGTAATTTGGATAAGAATCCATTGGAACTAAAATATATATGAGGCAATTTTGAAAGATTTTACTTTGGAATGATCTGATGGGTTTTATTTACGTGAACTTAAAAATTTGCAAAGCAGAAAATCTACGATGTGAAGAAAACTACGATTGATTAAGATATTTGCAAAAAACTAAACTATCTCAGTCATTTCGCATTCAGTGCCAAAAATTAAAGCGTACAAAATCCACACGAAAAAAAGCAAAAACAAAACAAAACAAAAAAATGGTTTACTTGATTGATGGTGATATCTCCATATATTGGTTCATTTCTTGCTGACGAACATACTTTCTCTCTATGACATCGCAATTACTAAGACATTGGTTAATTTATTGAAACACAGTAGACAAATCTCAGTCTAGCTAATATTTCCTTTACAACACAATATATAAAACATAGCCTATCATATCATCCTTGAGTTCACAACTGACCGTAACTCGTATTTATGCATCTAATGTTCCTGATCTTTTATCGAACATCTAAGTCACATGACTATACAAAGCTCTAGTTTGAATATGCTCCTGTATGTTGTCTTCGAGTAAGTAAAAAAAGAGACAAGCTTGTATCACCTATGATAATATATTAAACCTAGAACACTAACCATGGGTATATAGTACCCAGCGCAAATTTTCTTGTTTTTAATTACAATTTTCAGTACCTGATATTTTACCTAAATAATATGTTTTTCATTTCCTATTAATGTTAACACTAAGTACAAAGTTTGAAGTTCCTGCATGTAAAATATTTCAAATAAATATTTATATTTAATATTTTTTTTTTGATATTTTCAAAATCGGGCATCATATACCCATGTTTAGTAGTGGTGTAACTTTAATTGATGTTTAGTGTTCTAGGGTTAAGGAAATGTAAATTTTAATATTCATCACTAAATTAACTTCGTTGAAAATGAAATAGAAATATATTGAATAATAATTATTTCTTATCATTTTAACTTAATTTTTAAATTATTTTTAACTTAATGCATAGATATATTTATTATATATATCCCTACTGTAGCCAAAACTAATTTAAAGAAATATTGCTAAATTCAAACAGCAAGGTGTCTGGTTTTCATTTTTGATTTGTAATTTTAAGAATAGAATGTACATCCAAAATTTTGTGTAAAATTTCCGAAGTTCTTGTTTTGTTCGGCTTTTCCTCAAATACTCTCGACTGTCTTATTTATTATCCGGAAATGAATGTTATCAGTGTTGTATATAAGATTTTATTTTACTTACGTCCTGCCATATGTTTGCAATGCAAGAATTCCAGTTTATGTGTATCGTGTAATTCACACCATATATAATACCTTTATTCGAACTCCTGATTGAGTAGTGACTATTATTTCTCAGACAATCATAGCAAGAATTTATGTGGATTCCAGACAAATATCTGTGTCACATGAAAGTCCAGGTACTCACAAGAGATACAAGAACGAGAACATTCGCGATTGAAAAGAACGATAATAACCTTATAAAGGGGAACATCATATTCCAAACCAATTCTTGTGTTGCTCAACCCATCCATCAGTATAACGTACACTGCATCCCACCTAAGCTCATTCCCAGATAAACGTCCACAAATTCCTCTTAAGCATCCCAACCTAAATCTAATAAATCTAATAAGTTTTATTCCCAAATCAAAAATTTACAACATAACACATCTATGCGGACGACACTAATATTTTACTCCTGCTTCAAAAAAAGATCTGGTGTCGCTGACAAACCTAACCTGGCCATTTGTCTCGTAAAGGACCTCCAATCGGTTGGGAACTGGAGCAGGAATTGGCTGGTTAACTTTAATGTCTCCTCCCCCCCCCCAAAAAAAAACAAAATAAAAACTGCTTTCTATTACTCACCACGGAGAACCATCTCTGCTCCCGCCCCCGTTAGAATATCTGATACCCAACTTCTCGAGTGTTCCTCTTTGCGACTAATCGGTCTCACATTGTCTGCTGACCTGAGATGGAACAAATACATTCGTCCACCGCAAGGAAAGTTGGCTCCCTGTGCTGCGCCAGGAAATTTTTCTCGCCACAGTCGATCTTTCAAAATCTACAAATCAACCATTCGCCCTTGCATGGAGTATCGCTGCCATATATGGTCTGGA